CATTTTCATTATCGTTGAAAAGAATTTTTATCATGTATAGGGGTGGTAACGAACCATTATGATTAAAATTGTTTAGGATAATGCTAGCACAGCAAGATGATGACTTTTGACAGGTGTCAATCATGGTTTTGTGAAAAAATCAAAATAGGCTTTTAAAAGTGAAAAATAAAATATGAATTTTACTCACAATCATCCGATAGGAGTTGTTGCAAAACAGATTCATCAATTTCTACAAATATTTCTTCTGCTGAAGGCAACGAGAAATTAATTTCCTGAGTCAGTTGAGCCATGGCGTCCATGTTAATTAGTATGCAAAAAATACTGAGTAATTATGTATTCCTACACAGTGATTCGGTCGCTTGCTTCAGGGAATACAAATAATATTTTCACCCTTTGACATTTGGTCATGTGACCCAAATTAGCCAATCACAACACAGAACACACTTTCTATAGGTTTACAATCTACATCAATAATTTTTTAAATCTTAAATTAATTAGGTCTAATATCCATTGCAGAATGTTGGAAATACGAACCTTGCCGTGTTACGATAATATATTTCATTATCTGAGGAGATTCCCAATGTGTATTTGATAATATCTACATACATAATTGGTTATCAGATTATCTTGTACAATCACAGCATGTTACATGCTAATTAGGCACACGGAATAATACTATTTCAGCAAACCTTCATAACGATCATAACTGTCTTTCATATCTTAGATTTCAATATTTTCTGTCAATGAACATTATAAACAGAACGACAATCTGCTCTGTTGTTTCGTCGTGCTAAATCCACATGACACACAGTCCATTAAAATATGCAATACTTGAACAAAAAACCTATGTTGCAGACTAAACGTCAATAGTCTTATGTCAGTAACAATACAGTGGGGAAAAGTAAATCGTTCTGACCATGCAGTTACTTGTATGCGACATGGGTGCATAATCAAAATTCGCCGTCATTCGCTTGAAGTCGATCAAACATTTGACAGAAAAAGGTCGAGGAGCTTGGTAATAGGGCTTGGACGAGCCCAGATTTATTACCCGGGTACCCACCACGCTATTACCCTACCCTACCCGGGTAACCGCTATATATGTCTCAAGACTTGGGTGTAAATTGTCCGATTGGGAAAAGTTTGACAATAGCTCTGGTAAAATGTATTTAAATTTAGATAGACGTGTAAAACGATCTGGTCTGGAGTTTTATCTTTATTCAAACCTATAAAGGTCAGAAGGATTGGGTGCCTAGTCAGAAAGAAATGCGAACATTAGTGACTTGTAGTGTAACCATAGAGTTTGGGATACTTTTTGCCATTTAACAATTTTCACGTGGCTAACCACGGGTCCTGTGGGTACCCGGGTCCTACTCAGCACCCGAGTTACCCGTCCCAGCCCTACGTGGTAACCTCACTAATCTCACCATATTTGGTAATCCGTAGCACTGTATAAAATATGAGATACACAATGTTAAAGCTGAGATAATTATGGTGATGGTTATAATTTTGATTTTGCGCACTCAATGTTTGAAATCTTAATTCACAGTTGATAAGGGACATTTTCACAGGACCATATATGGCTTGTCCTCCCTGTCTGCCTGTACCGTTGAATCAGCCTGGCTACTGTCAATGGTGTACAACCAAACCTTCTTGCAATTTGGACCTGTGTTGCCCCCATTTCGGCCATACCGATGGCTCTCTCTCTCTGCTCCTGTGACAGTCGTGGCATTTCTTTTGTGTGCTTTCATCACGTGTGGTTATACCCTGCAGACGAACGCATTTATACAGCTAACATGCACGTGCAGTTTATGCCATAGGCGGGAAACCTGTTTCACCATTTTTTTGTCACCGCACGAGCGCCGTCAAAGGTGGCGCGTTCGGGTGAGGTGTTTTTGGTACCTGTTCCTGGGCAGTCATATTCCCAATACCCACTTTCCACTAGTTATCGCTGTTTTTAGGAAAATGACAAATTGCCAACCTATACTTTCTTTTGCCGCTTAGTTTATTGCAACATGTGCTTTATGTGCTTACAGATTTATTTGCCCTGGTTAGGTCCCCGCCAGGAACCTATATGTGAACACTAATTTTTTATCTTGGCCCATCGCAAGGTATCCTGCAAAGTGACAGTCACGTGAACGGAGGCTCAAATAAAAACGGCACTGACACAGTTCAACCCTGCCAATGCTTGATACCAAGTCAGATGCAACTGTTTTCGTTTGACCCTTCGTCGTGTTGAATGTACCTATGCTCAGCCTTGCATCGAAATAGTGAAATACACGGATTAAAATATAAGGGGAAAATAATCCCATTACTTGTTTTTGAACCTGACCATGGGGAGGTAATTTGTGTAACCAAACTAAGGGGAGATAACTCCGGGGCTACAAGGGGAACTGTCATACTTTATATTTGTTGTAGGTGGCATCGTGTTGATAACCGCCATGTTAGCAGCTGCAAAGGCTACAGAATGTGCTTGAAGTAGTTTTATACCCACCCTCCATTTCATGAAAGATTACCTGTTAGCCATGTTGTAAAGTTCATGACATTAAAAACACTTGACCTTGGCTCTCTTGTATTATGTTTGTTTAGTTGGTAGCTATGGCTACAACTGGTAATCTGTAATAAAAAAAGGTTTAATTGTATTCTTCCTTAACTACTTAACAAATAATAACGAAAAACGAGTCGCTCTGGAAAACAAGACTGGTCGGCTCAGAGTATACTGTGTCTGCGTTGGGTATCCATGTTAAACTGCGGCATGGTATCTCAATTGGGTAGCACATGAATTTGACGTTTAACTTCACCTCACCTCACCCCACCTTGCAAAGACATTGCTTGATTCTGTTATGAGTTATATATCCCTGATTCTCTTGTAAGGCATTTTTAACTTCTACACTGAACCTATGAAACTGGTTTTGTTTGTTATCCATTGTTGTAAGACTTGAAGCAATACATATATCTTGTGGGCCCCGTTAAAATTGCCTTCTGGAAACAGAATACCTGCTTCTTCCGAACGGATAATCATAACATTTTGAGAAAAACTTAATGACTTCAAGAAAATCATTTCAGAAATTATGTATTTCACTCATCTGGAAAACAAACATTCCGATCCACGTTTCGTAAAATCAATAAAACAAACAATCATAGAACATCAGCCATGGTGGATATACATTTACATGTATGAATATTATGGAAATAGTACAACCATATTGATCCATACACTTGGATTAAAAGGTAAGTATAGAATTGGTTGAATAATTAAATCAAGTGTTAGATGATTGTGTAATGAAAGGTACTGAATGGACCAGCGTCACTCACACGGTGCCTGACAGTTTGATCAGAGATTCTCCGGCGTCCAGGCACTGCAGATGTGGTAGAGGCTGCTGTAGCAAACCTGTTCCGTCCGTAAAAGTCCGTAAAAGCTATTTCAGACTACGCTTGAAAAATATGTTGACACAGTTCTCGATTTAAAGTTTGAAAACTGAACAAACGAATATTCCAGAATGTCTAATATATGGTTGAGATTGTATGGAAGTGCTTCCCACGCACTGTTCAACGCCCCCTCCGTTCAAATCTTTATCCCACGGAAGCGAGAGATAGACGACAATTTGGACGGAATCACTCGTAGGGGCCGTAACTGTCGTTCGGAATACCCCGTGTTAAAGTTTTCGAGGTTGCATGATTAGAAATCACATTCCGACTGTCACTTTCATGATCTGGTAAGCGACGCGACGTCGGATGAAAGGTCGTTCTGACGTGACCCGTAATGGGATGTCCTCAGATCTTTGTTTAGAGTAAGCGAGAACTCAGATCTGATTTTAATTAGATTGATAAGAAGGCAGCTTTCTCGTGCTTTACGGCACTAATTGCAAATTGGCGACTACGCTTCGAAACATATTTTGACAAATTCTCGATTAAAAATTTGAAACCTGAACAAAAGAACATTCCGGAATGGCTAATATATGATCTACAGTGTATGGATTTCGTCGTTAAGCCCGTCATACGGAATACCCTGTGTTAAAGTTTTCGAGGTTGCATGATTTGAAATCTCACTCCGACTGTCACTTTCATGATCTGGTAAGCGACGCTCTGATTGGTCGGATGAGAGGTCGTTCTGACGTGACCCCTAATGGTATGTCCTCAGATCTTTGTTTAGAGGTAGCGAGCACTAAGATCTGATTTTAATACGATTGGCAGTTATTCGTTTTCCACTCAATAATTATCAGATTAATCAGAATCCGGTGTTTGGAGTAATCAGTTACCCCTGTCAACGGTTGAATGTGCAATTCAAAAGAGCATTCTCAGCTGTTCCTCGGAACTACACAACTCAAACTGCCAGTAAGGCGCAAGAAGGTGTTTCATTGTCCATACACTTCAGCTTTCAGCAGGACTGAAGCCCTAGAATCAGGGAGTAAAGTTATAGCTATAAACTACTGAAGACACTCTGTATATCTTTCGTGGCCTTGAAATGAAATCATATATATATTCAGTACTGTAATGTTATCGAAGTTTGCGTGTCTGTTCATAATAACGTATATACACCGTCTGGGTACAAACGTTTAGTTTGGGTCTGTTTCTGGTTTTGAACATGTTCCAAAGCCTTTTAGGGGCGGTCCGGTAGCCTAGTGGTTAAAGCGTTCGCTTGTCACGCCGAAGACCCGGGTTCGATTCCCGACATGGGTACAATGTGTGAAGCCCATTTCTGGTGTCCCCCGCCGTGATATTGCTGGAATATTGCTAAAAGCGGCGTAAAACCAAACTCACTCACTCACCAAAGCCTTTTATTATTATTGTTTGTATTTCATTGTCCCTTGATCACAGAAAGATTATATTTTACAAATTGGGTTTACTTCCCTCCCGGTCAGTCCGTGTCAAGTGAAATGGTATACGTTATTTGTAATCTTTGCTCCTATTCCTTATAACTGTTAATTATCGAAACTGGCAATTTTGAAAACTAAAACAATATAAAGTAAGAAATCCTTTTAATATCAAGATACAAACACGAATGATTTTATGTTAAAGTCAACCTTCCCACACAAGCAAAGGATCGCAATACACTGTTTGGTCAGATCTGTTCCGTTTCGCTGTTGCACCTTTCTGTTAAGTCAAAGGTCTTTGACTCTGACCTATGACCCAGGGTACCCGGATGTCGAAGTGAGTCCTGGAGGGGCGTGTCTTTGGTTTCCGGAAGTAAGACCAGACATACACAGCTGATCATTAGCATGCCTCCCATCACGATAAATGGTACCAATATGTTGTTTTCATCCTGTCAAACGAATATATATATGAGAAATGAATGTTTCATCATCAACTATTGTATAATGTGTGCACGTCCTATGTAGCACTATTGGTATAGTAAAATTTAAACTTGCGTGTTTTTTAATGCTCTTCTCAAGAAGGAATGATTATTCAGGAAAGTGCAACTGTTTATGGTTCGAAATACACTTTGGCTCATCTGATTCGTTATATTGCGGAGATTCTTTCCCCAAACAGCAACCTGTAGATGTCAATATAAGTTTGTACTGGTTTTCTAAAAGCAATCCATGGAATGTTAATACATCCTGGAACCACCTCTTGAATAAGATACCTAACCTGTACCATGTTTTTACCAAGAAAACCGTATTTAGTTCGTTTTGTTTTCATTATTGTTGTAATGAGTGAGTGGGGTTTAACGCCGCTTTTAACAGTATTCCAGTTATATCGCGGCGTGTCAGCTTAATGTGGGAGGAAAGCCCGAAGTGATGCAGGTCTTAGACGTTTACCACTTCGGTGAAACCCACGAGCACGGGTATGGTGGTGACAAACCTACAAACATAATCGGGGCGAACCGGGATTCGAACCCACAATCATAGGTTTCTGGCGTGGCCAAGGGACGCAACTCTGCACACCGAATCGCGGCGCCTTAGATGACTGGGCCACCCGTGCCCCCTCATTACAGTTGTAAGCAGGAAGACACTGGCTGACATTGTTTCATGCGTTTATATAGGTGGAAGTTACCACAGTTCGCCTTGTGTTGACGATGTGGTCGGATGTATTACCATCAGCAGCAACATTGGCGCAACAACTCCTCCTATCCTTGATGCTGTCTGGCACACGCCGAATCCAAGAGACCTGTCAATTGGAGGAGACAATATGATGCACCCATGTTTCCAAAGTATCTTCTATTGGGGGATTTCATTGAAAGGAACCCCGGAGACATTGAATGTATTACACATGTATTCTCAGTGGACGCCTCTCTAGTGCACAAGTGAGAACATGGCTGATGAGCTTTTCCTGTATGAGTGAGTGAGTGAGTTGGGTTTAATCCAGTTATATCACGACTTTTTCCTGTATGACGGCTGACCAGATGACTCTTGACGGTAACCCTTTTCGCCTCGCCCTATTTAGAAATTCAATTTCACAATTAAAAATATATTTTCATGTCCTGGAATCGTCCAACCTTAAAGAATGAACGAACAACTCCCGTTGAATATTGTGCCCTTCCCAAAGGACAGACTCATGCTAAATTCACCTACCTGATAACAGTTGGGTATATCTCGTTAGTGAATAGGTACATGACCATCCATCCGCCTCCAATTCCGAACTTTCCGACAAGGGCCAGAACATTGACTATAATTCCTCTGTCAGCTTAAATGATAAAATGAATGAAATTGATGAAGGTCAACACGGTTTGGGGCATTATTTCAGTTATATCAAGTCTGAAGTGATGATAGATCAAAGATATACATGAATGCATATGATTGTCACATGATAAACGTTGGATAAATTTACAGGGCATCCTTTGTGCTACTACTGCTTAAATTTGTCTTCAGCATGGTCAGTATCTACGTCATATACTACTTGGCTGTTTTATTTGAGAAAGATGGTAGTATATGGGCCATTTGCACCGACTTTAGCTGAAATAGGTACACCTATATACGATACCAACATGCGTCACAAGAATGCTTTTAATATGATCGTAATGATTATCAGCTTTGGATTGTCAGCACCACATCTTGTTTCCGCCTGCATCACTTGTGTTTATCTGTCGAATTAAGCTGACGTTACGATTTAACTTGATTCCTGTTCACACTCACTCACTCACTCACTCACAAACTTATAGAAAGGCCAACTTAAACTAGCATTAGAGAGTTTTTAATAACATAAAACTAATTGTAATGTTAAATCAGCAAGTACAGGCATTCGTTTTCAATCCGTTTTGAACGTTTGATGGTTGGTCCAAAGGCATCTCTCTCAGCTCGCTATCCCTTCCTAGCCAGTGTGTTTTATGCGCTCTTGCATGTATTACCATAGGAGTAATGCGCGTTATAAAGTGACTATTATTGTTAGTAGTAGTAGTAGTAGTTGTAGTAGTAGTAGTAGTTTTAAGAAACGGGGTCTAGCTCTGGTAGTACATGTGTGCACTCCTCGTCTGAGGACTTAAACAGTATTGACAGCTGCACACACAACAATCTAAATTTATAAGTTATAATCTTTACTTATATTTGACTTTCAAACTTGAGTTTCGAATGTCATAAAAATCATGGGAGTCATCATGACTCCATAGTGTTCCCAAAAAAATGCGTGACATTTGCTGGCTGATTGTCATTTTACCCTGACGGTGTGAGTGTACGGGGTAGGGACAGGTCTACTTACACGCCAAATAGACCCCGAGGGACCCGCACATTGCAAATCCTGCTAGCAACAAGAAGCCAAAAGCCGTCCATTTTCTGCCGAACCTGTAGAGTGTAAATGTTTTAATATAACGTCTCGAAATAATAGTAGTCGTTGTTGCTATGGGATTTCTATTACCATTTATCTGTTATTGTTAATGTTATGAGATGATTTCCGAACTAAAATGTGAACCAAGAAGCAGTTTCGACCAGGTCAGGTGAGGTGAAATTGGGTTATTGCACTTATAGCGACGTGCGTGCACGTGTGTGTGTGTGTGTGGCTGCTTGTACTAGACCGGACTGATGCCGATTTATAGTGCTAGCTCACTGAGATACCATGCCGCAGTTTAACATGAATACCCCACTCAGACACAGTATACTGACTCCGAGCCGACCAGTCCTTGCTTTAACCCCTTAATGCCGAGCGCCAGACAGGGTAACAACAAGTACCATCTTTTAACGTCTTTTGGGTATGATGCGGCCGCGGATCGAACCCCGGACCTTCCGCTCTCCTGGCGGACGCTCTACCACTAGACCACGGAGGCGGTCTAGTTTCGAACAGAACTAAGTTGTGAATGACCACACAGGATACATGACAAGAATAATAACAAACTATATTAAAACACACAGTCGCTTTGGACTAAATGCAACACATGTGACAAAATAGTCTGATTTACACCAGAGAGAGGTTTACAGGAACAGTAATTCTAATATTTGAACAAAAACAAACTGACTAAAGCTATATTTTCTTAGGACAATTGGAGAAAGACAACAAAATTATGGTGAAATATTCTTTTTGGGCAACGGACTTCTGTATTGCTATATGTTATCTTAAAGTAGGAAGACAGAACACAGACCAAAAACTTCTGATAGAGACTGTGTTGAGAATGTAGTGGAATACGGCTTCACTTCACAACGTGTTTGCTTTAAATATGAACAGTGACATTATACAGTGGTAATTAGGTAGATATAATACAAGTCTATAGATTTAAACACATTTGATTATACATCCGTAACGAGTAACATGATTTTGACAGCCTGGGCAAAGTCACTGAACACTACCGAAGGAAAACGGCTTCACATTGAGCAACGTGTTTGCTTTAAAAATACGATGAACAGTGATATTATTACTTGGTATTTGGGTAGGTATAATACTACTCTATAAATGTAAACACATTTGATGATACATCTGTGACTTGTAAGTTGATTGTGACAGCCTGGGCCAGGTGGGGCCGACAACTTGAGATTCCCATCTGAATGCACTGAGATGTGAGAGGGAAATGAAATGAATTTCATTAACCTCCCTGCTTAATTGAGCTGAATGACGTATATTATGTCATTCTATCTTCGTATATAGTTAGATACAGCTATGTCGGACAGATGGAAATTTGTATCACTATAGTTGGAAGTATTTGATACTTTTCAAATCCTGTTTCGTTTTACGATTCCTCTTTTACCTGTAACCTAGCTCAGTCAGGCCCACCGCCCGCTCGACTTCCTGATTTTTAAGCTTTTTGCTTGCAATAATTCAATTATGTTGCACGTTTGTGGTTTGTGAGTGTTCATTAATGTCATGTGTGTATCTTGAATCAAAACTTTATGTGGGTATGGTCGTTGATAATGGAGTAATGAGTCAATCCGGCTTTTGGGCAACCCCTCGCGAAACTTCTTGAACGATCACCACGAAAATGTTTGTAAACAACCAAGGGAGGAAATTCTAAAGTCACCCTTCCGGTTACAATCTGGTTACAGCGCTTGACATTTTATGAGCGTTTCAGTCATTTGCCGCCACTGCCAATCATTACAAACTTACACTTATCTCCATTTCCTAACAACAATAAACGGTACTCTGTTACTTCTGTAAACGTCAGGATTAACATGTATCCATTACTTCTGCAATCAGCCAGAATCCCATCCTCACTTGTGGAATGTCAAGACCATGCCCAGTCCTGACTCAGTTAAAACAAGAATTTCAGTAACATCTGCTATCTGTCGTAGATCTCTTGAAGCCACGAGATGCAATAGCAAAAGGCAAAACTATTCAAAGAAATCCTATAAAGATCTAAAAATATAAAAAATCAGATTAATACGGAAATTGAATGTTTTCAATAAATTAAACAAAAATCTTATCAATATTAAAATCCCAATAGATGCTACTCACACACATAAGTCCCAAAATTGCAAAGGCAGAAGGTGTACTCTTAAAGACTTAAAGCAACAAAAATCATTTGTTACTTGCACAAGTATGGCAGCTGCACATGTATGCGTTACTTTCATCGTCGGTAAGAGGGAGCGTGTTCATGAATTATGACAACTAGAAGTATTGCCTGAATAATAAAGAGAATGGAGTTGAACAAACTCAGGACAACTCCTTGGAAACGCAGATAGGTTAACGTTGATGCAAGAATATGTATCCTTAAGGGAGAGGTTATGAATCACCCCTTCAGCATAATTTCTCAACAAAACTTGACCGCCGTGATCAAACAGGAAACCGACACAGATTATCGATAGGAGTGGATAGATTGGACGGCTTGTCGTAGCATTTCCTTAGTAATACAACTTGCTATTGCCGTCCTTAAACTTCAACCCTGATATTTGTCTTTAATCGCCCTACAGAGCTACCAAAACCCAGGGCGCCAACCGATGCACTTGGAGACTCTTATAACCCAGTAACACTGTACAAGCTGACTTCATCTCATCCAAACTGCAGTAAACTAAGAGAGGTGATAGTGAGTTAGTCGGGATTAACGCTGCTTTGGACAGTATAGTTTCATATATAACAGAAGAGAAAAAGCCACAAATGACATTGACATTTATCATTATGGTGAAATTCACCCCCACACACACACACATTAACATGTAATTGTCGTGTCTTACTTGTTGTTGAGCCAGAAGGTTGACACGTAGACCGGAATTTCCACCAGTTGGAGGAGGATGATGTTGAGGAAAACATCGCCAGAGAGACTGTGGACGCCGAACATCATTCCATAGTACGTCACAGAACAGGTGAACCTGGGTACGAGATACATTTTCCCATTGAAGTGTTCATATCCAAACTCTGTCATACACATTAAACATGCCACACACTAATGATATTAAAATGACAACAGATACACAATACAGTGTTAGGTTACCGCAGTTAAGATGTAAAGCAAAAGTACGCATTGATCTAAATGGTTCCGTTTTACATATTCTCCCTTGTCCAAATGGGCAATTTGTACCTAAAAGCAGCCATAAGCGGGACCAAACTGTGGATTGGATGGTGACAATTTCTGGTTGGGTGAAAAAAAACAACTTGGTGCGGTAAAAACAGCCTCGAGCTCCATCGAAAAATAAAAATATCTTCGCAACAGCCCAAAAGGTCGTAAAAGCATACCGAGTTAGTGGAGTTCAAATTATACAGGTTTTACTGCGATTATAACATACTATTCTCATGAACGTTGGTTTCTTAAAATCTTTGCAATTTCTCATTTAAGCGGTGATAAATGTTTCCTTCTATTCCACACCACTGTCACTATTCTGCATTACCAACAAAACAAAATATTTCCAATATTTAACAGATAAAGTGTTTTGTCCGCACCAAATGAATGAACGTACCAAATGAATGCACATAGTATGGTCTTTTTCGCCATAATCCATCCGTGAAAAGTATCTAGATATGTGTATGTTTTTCGTTTCTCCAACTCTTTCTTGGCCACATCTTCCAGCCTTGATCTAGTGTTCTCTGGTTTCGTGCGTCCGTTGTGTCGAGCAATGAGATCGACAACAGCCTCAGCCTCATCCAAACGACCTTTTACAGTCAACCAGCGCATGCTCTCAGGGACAAAGCTGAAATAACAAAATTACAACAGTATAGAATGCATGTATCTTGCCCTTGTTTCAATTATTATCTCACTTTTTTTTACTCTTATCTCCTTGTATATGAACTCAACACTTTTATTTCAGTAGCCCTGAAACGTCCTTACAATTTGAAACCATAAACAAGGTCATTTAACAGTTCCATAGCTAATGTCACTGGATTATTTTGCAACCTATATGATGTAGATAAACGAGATTTTTTGTAAATGATTGGAAAAGAAGCCATTTTGAAACAAACTTGTGGATCACATCTTCTCAAAGGTAGGAGGTTTGCAAATGTTTGTAAATATACAAGGAACAATATTTAAGGGATCCCTTGGCATTTCAGCTTGAGTCTAACGGGTGGGGTTATAAGACTAGAGTGGGTAGAGGAAGGTCTAGAATCCCTACATGCTGGAGAGATATACAGGCTTTTCTCAATATGACTGGCTAGGAAGCTTTACAGATGGGAGACAACGTGTTTGGAGATGGCGTGGAAAGAGGTTTTATTCGGCAGCAGTCCAAGAACATAACCGGTCTTTTACGTCCAGGGGTCAACTCATTTTCCCAGCGCGTAGGTCAGAACTTTGAGTTCCAAGTCGACAATGCGCGTCCCCACAGAGCTCGTGTTGCAGTGGAATGCCAGAGGCAAGGCAGCCAAATCACAAGACATGTTACCGAATGAACACCTTCGGATTTTCCAGGCTGAAGGTTTCTCAAACCGACCTCAGCCTTTTCAGAATTTGCAACAGCACGAAAAATGGTGAAGGAAAACACGCGAGACAATCAAGGGCTTATATCCACTCTGTCTGCACGGGGTATGGACCAGATTTTGACTTTACGATGAAAACTGAATTCCACAATGTCGTTTCTTTACATGAATATATTTGGGGGTTCCCGTAAATATTATAGCTTTAAGCAATTATTTGAAAGAGATCAGGACATATTTTTTGATTCACTATTGACTTGCATTGTACACGTTTCATGTTTCCGTGATGCAGTCTGGCATATCTTATGTAATTCATTGTTACCCACGTGGTGAAGAGACAGGTGGTAAGATACGAAATCCGTACGTGACAAGTGTGTCGTACAAGATTGACCTGTTTTATTTAATTGTGTAACCGTGACGTCACACCGGAAATACTTGTTTCATTCATAAAAGAAATCACGAGACGTCATTCACTTTGACAAAACTACAAGGCAGAGTGAGTGAGTGAGTATGGTTTTACGCCGCTTTTAGCAATATTCCAGCAATATCACGGCGGGGGACACTAGAAATGGGCTTCACACATTGTACCCATGTTGAGAATCGAACCCGGATCTTCGGCGTGACGAGCGAACGCTTAAACCACTAGGCTACCCGACCGCCCCTACAAGGCAGAACTGAAGGAATCTAATGAAAGCAAGGGACATTTACATACTCTTTATTAAACCAAACAAGATAGTCCCACACATCAAATTCGCTTTGCATTCTATATTGGTTATGTATAGAGCTACTACAGAAATTATTTGATCGAGCTATATCCATTTGCAATGTACGACTACCGATGGATCGAGTGTCCCTATGAGCGTTACGCACCCGACCACTTTCGCGACTTTCAATTTGATTTTATGTAAAAGGTTAAGCCTGGTGAAATGAATTCATTTTAGACTATCTGGACAGACATGAAGACTGACGTTTGATACTCTGGTTGTTCCCCTTTCCAAGCGTATTTCGTGACATTGATTCCGAAGGTTTTTGTTTATGAATGAACATACATGTACACTTCTACACTACCAGATCACTCAAAATGAACAGTTTCGATACAAAGCATTCGAAAACTCCGTTGAAGTGTGCCTGAATTCTGTTTTTGTGGCCCAAAAGATCCCTAATATGAACAATCACATTCCCTATTGATCTCACGTAAAACGCTAGCTGTGAGTAGATCACAGTTGTATTTTCTTTTCAAATAGTGACCTTACCTTGCCGAAGCTGCCACTAACATGCAAGCAGAATTGAGTTTATTGATTTTCACACCCTCAGAATAGGGTCGTACAGTTAACATAAACGTCTTTGGCGAGCACTCTGATTTCCATCTTCCAAAATGGTTCGAACAGGATATAAATTCAGCTGATATATCAAGGAGGGCAGGGACACCATCGTTGCGAGTGGCCGAGTGTTGTTCGAGCTTCAAAGCACAGCGCTAATTGACTTTTAAGTTTTTTGACAGTTGTCCGCGTACTAACAGCAATGCGCTTGAATTACCATAAGTTGATGATATTCTTAAAAGAAAAATCTTGAGCGTTGGAACTGTCGTGTTTGCACACACAACAGCAAGAATATGTCCTCAAAGCGCATGCATAGATATGTCAACTATTCCCATATTTGGGCATACATTAATATTTATGCAAAGCGGGATATGCAACTGTTTGGTCTGTGGATGAACGAAAGCTGTTATGAATTTACACTTAAATACATATTTAAGGCGGGTAATTAATAAAATCCCACACTCGTTCTCATTAGCTACAATTTTTACGTAACTCGTGAATTTCCTATGGTATCTAACGAGATTTAGTATAGTATTCTCTATATATATAACATCATAACCAGACAACAACCATTACTTCTCTCTGTAACATAAATGTTAACTGGAGAATGGGCTTCAGCAGTCCAAACAATTTTGGGTCCACCGAATACCCACCTCAACTAGAAAAGAGAGAGCCATGCATGAAAAATGTAGGCAATACTGTGAGTTCGTATGGGTCGACCCATACTGTCTCACTTTACTTTTAAGATGTTAATAAAGCTCGTAATGTACAGCTTTAGACGGTCCCTCAAATGAGCAAGTATGAGCTGTTACCTAGAACATTAACAAATAATAACATTATACTTACAAACATCCAAATAAAAACGGTGCAGATAAAACTCCACTGGCGACATGAAGGTATCTCCAGTTAGGAATTAGATATCCAAAGAAGGCACACAAGATCCCACCAACAGGCCACAATGGTAAAGCAGTCACAACCGCTCTCCATTTGCAGCCCATGAACTCCATCAAATGGGGGATGCTAGTTCCTAAAAAGGCCCCAATAGTCATGCCAACCAGGAAACGTACGGCGGCGTACATCTGCCAGGATACAGAAAGTGCTCCGATGAAACAAAAGACTGAATGAAGTCCCATGTTCAGGAAGAAAATTTTCTTTCGTCCAAATGTGTCCGAGATCTGTCCCGCTAAGGCCACGCCCACCATGACACCGGCCATCTGGAGTGATGCGATGGTCTTGCTGACCTGTCCCTTCTCACAGACCAGGTCCCACTGGAAGGACATACATAACGTGTGGTGAGCAAGCTGTTATTCAAGTAACCTTATATAACAATATTAAAAATAATCCCGGTAGTCGCCTCATATGGCAAGCACGAATGAATGAATGAATGAATAATTCAGTATTAATTAGGAGTTGTTTAAAATATATGGTTATTTTGATGTTGCATGCACAATGCAGTTGTGTGACTATGGATGACATTCATCCCATTACACCTTACATACCTGGGAGACAGCTGTTACCATGGAATCCGAGTACACCCTGATACAGGTATTGTTGGCGACAGGACACTGCTTGTACACCGACGAGTTCCCCATGGTGGTGTTGAGATCCTGACCCTCCGGCACGCACCACCAGTCAGGGACCACCCCGGCCACCACGGGGATAACCATGCTCCACCCAAATAACATCTTTGGGGTACCAGCGATGAGAATTATCAGGATCTGGAAACGTCCAAAGGACCCAATATCTTCGATGAGATCTTCAAGTGTCATGTTAGTAGAAGTAATAGAAGACTTTCCGGAAGGAAATCCGTCCCAAGTTGTACGTTGTTTGGCTTGCACTGATGGATCCAGATAGAGGGAATACTGGGATACCTTACGCCAACCTATCAGTGACTTGGATATTATAACACCCAGCACCACGTGACTGCATGCTTGCCTACAGCTCGAAATGTGAAGGGCACTGTATGAAAGGACCCGGGCCCGATGCCATTGCGACCACAGCTTGGGCGTTGTGTAAAACGTCCCAGCTGATATACCGGCGTAAACTAGACCCTCATTGGCCAATGCTGGTCATGAAGAGCCGGATTATGAAGTCAAACTGTGCATCAATGTTCGTGCATTCAACCAAACATGGATGAGTTAACAAAATAAATCATGAAACAGTACATTATCACGTGTGCCTTCATGGCTGGAACAAGGTGTGGGATTGTTGGATTCTACGCCAATAGGCGACATCACCAATGTAAAAATGTAGTATGTGCAACTAAGTATTTATATGCCAAGGCATGTTAGGAACGTATGCTCATCTAATTAATTATTGATCAGTGTAATTCAGGTTTTTAATTAATGGAATTAATAAGACCATGCCTCAGCTGTTTCCATAAGGGTTTGAAGTGATGCTGATTGAAGTAGGTTGATGGCAATGTATCATACAAACAATATGCATATTCTGTGGTTATAAAGTCATCGGTAACAAATATCGTTATTTATGTTTGTGCCTGGTAAATAAAAGAGACAAAACCCTTTCCATGTTCATAAGCAATCTCTACCAACATCAGAGTCGATTAATATTGTACGATCCTTCTACATCATGAGCATAGGTGAGCCTAACCTGCTCCATCGGTGGCACCCATCACAAACACATGCAGATGCAAGTAAATTCTTCACACAAACAACAAAGGAACACATGGTACAAGTCAAAATAGGGAATTGCATCGGACATTAAAACATTTCCGTTTGCGAAAATATGTGTTATTTTAAAGGCAAATGTGTTTATATACACTCGTCAAAAAAAGAAACGCACAGGTAGGTTTTTAGTAAATTTAATGTACCTAAAAAAGTATATAAATATATAAAGATATATTCAATTTAATATCATAGATACAAATATGACATTTATCACATGTAGTCGTTGTACAAAGGCATTGAAAACTGGTCATTGTCATGTCACATAAGGCCACAAGGTTGCGTTGAACTCAGTATCCAGTGTGACCGTCCCTGGCAGCAATCACGGCTCTGCATCTCCTCTGTGCTGAGTGGATAATGTACGAATTCTGTCCTGCGGAATTCTGCGCCATTCTGTTTGTAACACGTTGGCCAGTTGTGGGAGTGTCTGCGGCGTGTTCTGACGTTGACGTACACGTCGATCGAGTACATCACAGAGGTGTTCGATTGGGTTTAGATCTCGAGATCTCGACAGCCAGGGCAATACGTTGATGTTGACATTATGAAGGTAGTCTACCTCGACACGAGCTGTGTACGGTGAAGCGTTGTCCTGTTGAAACAGCTTCTGGCGGTCAATGATTGGAAGAAGGTTGAAGAATTTGATTAATGTAGCTATTTGCTGTCACATTTCCCTGAACCACAACCAAGTTAGATCTCGTGGTGTAGGATATGTGCCCCAGACCATGACACTACCACAAAATTGGGCAAATCGCTCATTTCGACGACGATGAACACGTTGTCTTCCATCTCGCCGGTGATAAAGAAATCGTATTCATCGCTAAACCACACTCGTCTCCAGTTTCTCAAATTCCAAGGTTGTAAGGAATGGCACCAACACAAGCGTCGCTGTCGATGCATCTGTTGCAAAACGGACGATAACTGGTCTTCTGGGTCGGATTCCAGTTTCGCGAAGAAGGTTCCTGACAGTCTGGTCAGATATCCTCCTCAAACCAGGGCTGCGTCCTGCAGTCTTCGTAGCTGTGGCATTGCGATGCCGTAGGTGGAACAGTCGAATGTAGGGATCCTGTGTAGGGGTGGTAACTCTTGGTCGGCCGGTTCTCGTAAGGCCTGCAGTGGAATTGAACTGTGTGTATCGGTCCCAAAGGCGGCAAATGGTGCTGTGGTGGATATTGGAGTGTGTGCAACAGAAGACTGCGATTCCCCTTTTGGATACGTCCTATGGCGATGTTTCGATCGGCAGGGCTGAGTCTCGGTATTTTCGAACTTGAAAAATGTTGAATTGAATGACAAATTATTGGCGTATACTTGCCTTTTTTATAACCACAATAACTTGCACGTGCATTTTGCTTTACTGTTTTCCTCACTGACAGTTTGAACACGTGTGAAAACAAAGCCGTTTAAGACATTGCAAATCGACAATGGCTGCGTTTTGACGCACCGTTTATCGAATATCAGGCCACCAACATTTTCCAACAACATATACCGGATTTTTTTGTGTAGTCAGGTTCCATGTACCACCTGTGCATATATTTTTTTTTGAAGAGTGTAGATAATTGTGTGTTCACAATTCCTTTCATGTAATTATATTTTCCTAAAATAGAATATTAATGGTAATATGGGGTGTTTTCACCTGACTGAGTAAGAGACTGGGTATTATAGATACATAGATGCATTAGCGATCTATTATGAATGCAACAGGTGCAATGTCTAATTAAAATGTTTTTTGAATGAAATGACAATACCAATGACAAATGTGGTGTTGGGTGATTTTTACTTGGCCTTGGTAATTACACAAAGGGTATTTTAGTTTTCGAAAAACAAAGGTGACAGGTGTTTGCTTGCACTTAATGCCCACGGCTTCTGTGGATAAAACTGAGTTAGACAATGTTGCAAGTGATGTCATGGCATATAGATGGCTGTTTTGAGTGCTGCTACAGCCACAATGCCTTCAGGAAATGCCTTTGACACAAGATCTTTTATGACATATTTCAGTTGCATGGCCGTTTCATCCTTGTTCTGTTTCCTATCTGTCAGTTCCTGTTGGTAAGAAACTGCAGTTTTCACCGACTTGAACCTGTCTAGTAACACCTGTTTCACACCCGAGTACGTTTGTAGCTGCTCCTCAAATAATGTCGTGAAAATCCCCCTTCAGCGCTAAGTGTATGCACGCTACTTTCTTGGCTTCCTCGGTATTGTTTCTGACGACGAATAATCTTTCCAAATGACTTTCAATATCACCCCCTTCACACTCGTCCCACTGTGATACTCCAGCACTAGCCATTTCCAAGCCAAAAATATGTTATCCCGGCGCTGCCACCAATGATAGAAAACAGAACTCGCTGCTTCAGGTCAAACGTTGTTATTCGTTAGACTTTCGTGATACAACTGACAAAACGATCATCTCCACACACACAATCATTCCTAAAACACTATGACAACACACAATACAATCAAGGTGAAATTCTATACTTACAACTGTCAACTTTACCGATACAACTCACATGCTATCATAACAACTCAACAAGAACTTCTGGAATGAGAGTTATCTCCCACAGATCATCAGCTTACTGATTGTATGAAAGTCGTTTAAGAAATTTTGTATTTCACTCTCCCCTGAAAAACAAATATTCCGATACAAGTTTCGTAAAATCAGTTCAACAAACAATAAAGAACATCAGCCATGGTAGAGATACATTTACATGTATGAATATTATGGACAAAATATAGTTATATTGATCTATACATGTACACTTGGATAAAGAGGTAAGTACAGAATTGGTTGAATAATCGGTATGTATGTATGTATGTATGTATGTATGTATGTATGTATGTATGTATGTATGTGGCAAACGGCAAACGGCTAAATGTACAGAATTATGTATGTATGTATGTGTGTCTGTGTGTGTCTGTGTTTGCGCGCGCGTGTGTGTCTGTCTGTGTGTGTGTGTGTCTGTGTGTGTGTATGTCTGTGTGTGTGCACATAATGGTCAGTATATGTATAACTGTTACGTTACAGGCGTAATATGGACTTTTGAAAGGGAAATTTGCAGTCATATTGGATTTTCCGTGACTAACGTTATTTTCCTCTTTGTTACCCGACAGCCACTGACCGTGCACCTCTCTGTTCCTACATGACCATTTGAACATTTATATATGCTGTGTGCTCCACTAAATATGAAATATTGAAACCGTTTGAACTTGATTGTTCCCATGAACTGCTGACTCTGCGACTCAGCGACTGTGACAGATGTACCTCAAACAACCCAACGCACTCTTGGAAAATTGTAAACATGACTAAACCAATTTTAGTGATGGAAAAAAGTAACGGTACTTCAGTTCAATAAAATATCTAAATAAATATAATTCATTCAGAATCTTTCAATGCATATTAATGAGGACATCTTCTCGACTTGATTCACAATTTGCACGTACAATTTATCTGTTTGCGTGTTTGTTAGGAGCATAATAATCACACGAGTAATTTCAATGTAAACAGCACACAATGAATGTTTAGCTATCGGGTGCTCATATTAACACGTTTGTTTCACAAAAAATAGGGCTCACGCAATGCCATGGCCAGCTGAAAATAACGTTTACGCACAGTGGGTATGCTACGTTGCGAGACATTTGAATGTTCATCGAAACACAACAGTATCTGTTTGGTGACATTATCTGCATGACTTGCCACGGGCCGGTGGTCCACTTGAGACTTCGCGTCATCAAGACAACGATATTCGGCTGGTGCATCATCGGAATCGATACCAACATCAAACATTAACAGGTCGGGCAATTCGTGGGTTGAGACCATTTAGTGGCAGAACCATGCGCAACCGTTTGAGGGAGCATTACATCCGCCCGACGTCCAGCGACACGCCCAATGAGGCTACCATGTTACCCTCAGGCATACCTAGTTAAGTATAGACAGCATCTCAAGTTCATAAGACAGTATACTCTTCACATATGGGTTCAGGTTTCATCTGGGCAGCTCGGATGGTTACTCAACGATACTTAACGTCGTCAGTTTGGGGACTGAAGTGTAATGCGAGCCCTGGAGATAAAGAGGATGTGAAACCGTATGGGGTGGCATCACAACTGTTACAAGTCCCGGAAACCCGTCTCAAAACCTTTGGTCAGAGATCTTTCCAGTTCTGCGCTTCCTCGCTATGGAACAAACTCTCATCTGATCTTAAGCTGTCGCCATCGCTGTCATCTTTTAAGGCTCATCTGAAAACACACCTTTTCACACAACACTACTCCCCCTTTCATTAGCATTACTTGCTAAAACTGTGTAGCGCCATGAGCATTAACTCGGTGAATGGAATCTGGCGCAATATAAATGGACTTATTATTATTAACTAATGGCAGAACACGACTCATCATTGTTAATGTCAATTTGATACGCTATCAGGACTACATCGTTTGAGATCATGTTCATATGTACAGACGTTTACTTCTGAAAAATATAGTCCCTAAAATCAACACATAACAGGTTTAGGAGAGAAAACCTTCCTTTTGGGGGCTCTGTATAAAGATACCTACCACAGAACGAAATCACAGTCTATATATGATACACAAATAGTATGAATAAACGTTGTTTGAGGACGCGGTCAGCTACATTTGTGTTGTATCACATCTGCCTGAAATACATTTGTCTGGGTCAGGCGAACCAGAGACTGAACGGTACTGGGTACCCATCCTGGCGCGACTTCTCCCACAAGCTGCAATAATTCCCCATGTAGTTATTCGTTTTCCACTCAACTATAATCAGATGAATCAGCATCCGTTGTTTTAAATAACCTGTTCCACGGAGAACGATTGAATGTGCATTAAACAAAACGTATTCTCCACTGCTCCCTTGGAGTATACAATCCAAACTACCAGTAAGGCACAAGAAGGTGTTACATTTTCATTATGATATTCCACTGCGTACATTATAGCCACTTCCGGTTTGAGCAGGACCAAAGCCGAGGAGTAAAGTGAAGACCTGTCAATATTAAACGCACTTCATACAACTTTCGTGGTCTTGAAACCATGTTGGGTTCTGGTATTATCAGATTACGTTTTTGTTCATAATGACCTTTTTTCTACCTTCACAACACTGTTTGTTTGTTTGTTGTTTAACGCCGCAATATTACAGCTATATGGCGGCGGTCTGTAAATAATTGAGTCTGGACCAGACAGTCCAGTGATTGACATTATGAGCATTGATCCACGTAATTTGGATCGATGACTTGCATCAACCAAGTCAGCAAGCCTGACCACCCGATCCCGTTAGTCGCCTCTTACGACAAGCAGAGTCGCTTTTTACAGCATGCGTGGGTTGTTGAAGACCTATTATACCCCGGACCTTCACGGGTCTCACAACACTGACTACACTGGGTAGCTACTTTAAATTTGGGTTTGTTCCTGATTTTGCATATATTTCAAAGCCTTGTTACTGTTTGTATTTCATTGTCCCTTGATCATAGATATATAATATTTTAAAATTATATATACTTAGTCCGCGTCAAGTATAAGTGTTATATACTATTTGTACCTTTCGGGTAGCCTAGTGGTTAAAGCGTTCGTTCGTCACGCCGAAGACCCGGGTACGATTCCCGACATGGGTACAATGTGTGAAGCCCATTTCTGGTGTCCCCCGCCGTGATATTGCTGGAAAATTGCTAAAGGTTCTACTACACCAAATCAGTACCAGTTTGGAGAGTGCGGTTTTCGTAGGGAGCCTTCAGTGCAGATCGAGAGATATCTGCAGGCTGTGATTGGAGGATATTCTGTAAGATTTTTATGTCTTTCAAATGTACATCCATCCAGTTATTAAAACTGACCATGTTCTTCTATATTTAGTACTGTCTTTTTCAACATGATGACTTATGCTGAATGTGACCACAGCTATTTTCAAGTAGGTGACATTTGGTGCGAAACTGGGGGTGGTGTGTTTAGCTTCCGGTACTCGGAAAAGGAGCTGGGTAAGCTAGTCATTTTTATTTTTTTTATTGCTGCTCTAAGGCCAAACTGTGCACACACGTACAGGTAATAGCTGTTGAATGCTTAGTTATTTAAAAAAAAATCATAACGTTACTATAGAAGTCTATGGGAAAACATTTGGTTGTGTGTAACCTGTAGGGTGAGTGCACATTTCAGTAATTCATACTTTACATGCTTTTCTGTTTATATTTCACCATGGATACACCATGGAGGCAAATTTAAAAATAATGACAGTGAAGTTGGGGACATTTTGGGTTGAATGGAGCATTTGGATGGGCTGGAAATGAATGTTGCTTCGTATTGTGGTCGAACTCAGCACGAACCCCCCAGGGTACCTCTGTCCAACAAGCCCTCCTCCTGCCTTCTGAATTTGTTGAAACTGATGAATTTGACAACAAATTAGGATAAAGTCACCACTGCCACAACAATTTCTGCCTTGTGTCAATCGCTTGCCAGTCAAGTTACGCGATGCCGTTATCTTGAATATGAAGCATGTACACTGCTGACAGCAGAATATGTCAAACATCCCCTTATTTATAGTAAACAATGTAGCATACCAATATGTCTTTCTGTTAGGTGCTCTTGTGTGAATGAATGATGCTATTTTTCTATTAAGTTTCTTAAAACAGACTTATTTTTCACTCATATAACTTTCAAATAATTATTTTGTCCCCTCAAGAACTGACTCCTGGCTGTTATATCCAAACTGGTTTGCCATTTGATATTGTCTGAACACTTTTTTCAGCTTTTCACATGCCTGATGTTGACTGGGGAGGTATATGTGCACTCATGCAGAAGAAGTAGGAGTTTCGACATCGAATTTGGCATTTGGAGAAGCTGATCCGAAGTCCGGTGTTGGCAGTGTGTGATCGACAACCCTTGTTTTGCCTCGCTGCGCTTCATTACCTTGTAGAAGTTGTGGAACTTGGACATGTAGGTACAGTAAGTACATTTAAGAACCCCAGTCCACTTGAGGCCCCTCTGTTGCTCACTATCAAGTGCCATAATAAGATCCCCCTCATGCACTAGACATTTCTGACAGTGCTCCCTTAATGCCTCACTGTGCAGTTTTTTAGTTTGCAAACATGAAGTAAGGGCTATACACCAGTCCCAGAACCTGCTTAGATGAAAATAATATCCACTGGCTCTTTTGGAATGTAACATTATGGTTCTGAAATCATCTGTAAAGAATGTGATAGTGTTCGACAAAACTAAATTATCTCCCCTGTTTAGTAAAATGCATTGTATCTTTCATTCCCCTATAAACCCATAAATTATTGGAGAGAAACACTATTTTAAGCTGGTATTGCATGACACTGTTAATTGTGAATAAAAAGAATTACATTTATGTCAGGATAAGCTGTACATTTTCATAATTATATGGAATTTTAACTTTGTTTCATTGAAACTGGCAAATAACTGAAATAAGCAAGTTTAGCCACCTTGAAACATTAAACAGTAAGAATGTTTGATGTCCTGTGAGTATTTTAAAGTCTTAACTAAATAAATCAATAGAGTTAAGTGTAATTTCCTTCCATGTTGTGGTTTCAAAAAGCTTTTTTCTACTTGAGGGTCCATTTCAATTTCTCGGCTTTAATAGGCGGTATGGTTCACTGGTCAGCATTTGAGATTGCTGTTAACAATGCACCCCTTTACTTCCTATTTTCTGGTAAAGTTCATTATCCAGGCTTACATATATGATGACTTTAAAGCTGCTTAATGTGTCCCTTGCTTATTGTTGGCCTGAATTCCATGCTCACTGTCCAATTTTGAGATTTTTTTCTGATTCCTTTCCATGTGTACTTATGTCATCAGCCTATATCATAGAGGATTATACTTTTGATTTTTGGAGTATATGAAAGCACAAACATTTGTGATAGCCCCTCCATAGATGATTTACCAAATGCTGACAGCCATTTGAGTGTTTAATTATATAAACAATGGATGGTGTAAGTTCGAGCAATCTCAAACAATATCAATCGCATCATGTCATGAGTGTCAAAACCATATTCCATGAATGTAGCAGACTCTGCTATGTTCTGATGATGTCAGCAAAGGAAGGCAAACAACAGACCACTACTCAATTTTAAATATGTATTGTAACTGGTTTTGAGGTTTAAAGATTTGTTCAATTTTTTTAGTCGAAAAAATATTTTAGGGTGATATGATCTATGCAGCCTCAATCATTTATAGAATTGACCCCTGACCACCATCTTTTATGAAATATAAATGAACTTCCATGGTCAGTGCATGAAGGTAAAAACTTCTTTATTAATACAGAAATACCTTTTGTAAAACATTGATGAAGTGTACACCATTAAACTCTCACAACTCTTTCTGTGCATCAAAACTATGTATTCTGGTGCCATATAGACATGCTGGATAGGAACAAGTAGTGAAGTTTAATCCAATTTCCATTTTTTTTCTGAGAAGCTACATATATATACAATATATAAATCACAGATTTGACAAGTGCAAATATATTCTGATTTGTCTACAGGTTCTACTACACCAAATCAGTACCAGTTTGGAGAGTGCGGTTTTCGTAGGGAGCCTTCAGTGCAGATCGAGAGATATCTGCAGGCTGTGATTGGAGGATATTCTGTAAGATTTTTATGTCTTTCAAATGTACATCCATCCAGTTATTAAAACTGACCATGTTCTTCTATATTTAGTACTGTCTTTTTCAACATGATGACTTATGCTGAATGTGACCACAGCTATTTTCAAGTAGGTGACATTTGGTGCGAAACTGGGGGTGGTGTGTTTAGCTTCCGGTACTCGGAAAAGGAGCTGGGTAAGCTAGTCATTTTTATTTTTTTTATTGCTGCTCTAAGGCCAAACTGTGCACACACGTACAGGTAATAGCTGTTGAATGCTTAGTTATTTAAAAAAAAATCATAACGTTACTATAGAAGTCTATGGGAAAACATTTGGTTGTGTGTAACCTAAAAGCGGCGTAAAACCATAGTCACTCGCTCAAATCTATATTCGACTTCCTTATATGTGAATGTTAATATCAAAATGGCAATTCCGACAAATAAAACAATACAAAGAAGGAATTAATTTTAATATAGAGATACAAACACGAATGAACTCGTGTTAAGTCAACCTTCCCTAATAGGAGAGTTAGGAATTAACAAGTTAGGAATTATATCACTGTTACGTCAGATTTCTCCCTTTCGCTGTTGTCTCTACACTGGGCTCCTGTTACGTCAAAGGTCTCTGCCTCTGACCTTTGATCTCGGGTACCCGGATGTTTAAATGTGTCCTGGAGGGGCGTGTCTTTAGTTTCCGGAAGTAAAACCAGACATACACAGCTGATCATTAGCATGCCTCCCATCACGATAAATGGTACCAGTATGTTGTTTTCATCCTGTCAAACGAATATTTATATGAGAAATGTATGTTTCAGCATCAACTATTTCATACATGCACGTCCTGTGTAGCACTGTTGGTATAATAGAATTAAACCTTTCATGTGAATGGTCATCTCGAGAACGAATGATTATTCAGGAAAGTGCCAATGTTTGACATACGAAATACACTTTGGTTCATTGATTCGTTATTTTGCGGATATTCTATCCCAAACAGCAACCTGAAAATGGCAGAATAAATTGGTATCGCCTTTTTAAAAGCAATCCATGGAATGCTAATATCTTCTGGGACAAACTCTTGAATTAGATTTCAAAACGCTCTCCGTGTAGTTTATAATTAAAATCGTAATTTGATCGTTTTGTTTTTACTTTTCTTGTTAACAGGAAAACACTGTCTGACATTGTTTCACGTGTTTATATAACCGGGGAGTACCACAGTTCGCTTTGTGTTGACGATGTGATCTGGTGTATTACCATTAGCAGCAACATTGGCGCAACAACTCCTCCTATCCTTGATGCTATCTGGCACACGCCGAATCCAAGAGACCTGTCAATTGGAGGAGACAATATGATTCACCATGTTTCCAAAATAACATGGGAAAATAAATTCCCACACAAATACCGCATGATGAAAAAAGTTCAAATTAGACTACCCATCTTTGAAATGTTGGATCCGTTAACAAATAATATCATAGACTTCTATATGGAGATGTTATTAAAGGAGTATCCAAGCAACTGCAGTGCATATGTGAAAACACAGATTATCTCTTCCTGTATGACGAGTGACCAGATTACTATTGTCAGATAACCTTTCCGCCTCACCCTGTATAGAAATTTAGTTCACATTTAAAATCGAAATGTTGGTTGGTTGGTTTGTTATTTAACGCCGCACTCAGCAATATTCCAGCTATATGACGGCGGTCTGTAAATAATCGAGTCTGGACCAGACAATCCATTGATTAATATCATGAGCATCGATCAACGCAATTGGGATCGATTTCATGCATCAACCAAGTCAGCGAGCCTGACCACCCGATCCATTTATCGCCTTTTACGACAAGCATAATCACCTTTTACGGCATGCATGGGTTGCTGAAGAACTCTTCTACCCCGGAATCTTCACGGGTCTAAAAACGAAATGTAACGCCTTGAAGCATGAATGAACAACTCTCACTTAATATCATGCTCTTCTCACAGGACTTGCACTGATGATGTAGTTCTCCTAATTAAAGAAAACAAAATTCACATACCTGATAACAGTTGGGTATATCTCGTTAGTGAATAGGTACATGACCACCCATCCGCCGCCAATTCCGAATCTTCCAACCAGGGCCAAAACATTGACTATAATTCCTCTCTCGGCTTAAATGATAAAATGGATGAATTAGTTGGAGGTATGCACAGTTGTTCCGATGTATAACGGCGAGGCGGCTCATGTTGGGGGAAAGTCGGAAGTGATGAAAGAAGATATGCCTGTGTACATATGATTTTCACATGATACACATTGGATTAACTTGCAGGTCTGCAGCTCTGAAGAAATCTGGAATGGGATATGATATATGATGTAATCAGGATGAAATAGCTGTAAGCTTACTGTTGCCCCCTACCTGTTTAGGGCTAAGACCTGCATCAATTGTGTTTGTCTACCCACATTAAGTTGACGTTACAATTTGCTGTTCATTACTTGGAAAAGTCATCTTTAACCAGAATAAGAGGGTTTTTCATAAAATAAAATTGAGGGCACGGGTGGCCCAATCGTCCTAGGCGCCGCGATTCGCTGTGCAGAGTTGCGTCCCTTGGGCACGCCAGAAACCTATGATTGTGGGTTCGAATCCCGGTTGCCCTGATTATGTTTATGGTTTGTCAGCACCATACCCGTGTTCGTGGGTTTCACCGAAGTGGTAAACGTCTGAGACCTTCATCACTTCGATGTTTCCTCCCACACTTAGCTGACACGCCGTGATATAACTTGACTAATTTTAAAAGCGGCGTTAAACCCAACCCACTCACTCACTCATAACATAAAATTAATTCTAATATTAAATCTGCGATTACAAGCATCCGCATCAATCCGTACCATCATGTGCGGGATGAGGAAGGGTCTACTTACACGCCAAATAGACCCCGAGGGACCCGCACATTGCAACTCCTGCTAGCAACAAGAAGCCGAAAGCCGACCATTTTCTGCCGAGCCTGTAGAGTGTAAATGTTGTAATATAACGTCTCGAAATAATGGTAGTCGTTGTTGCTATGGAATTTCTATTACCATTTAGCCATTAGGGCTAAAGTAACGAGGTGATTTCCAAACTCAGATGGAAAAGATTAACCAAGATATAGGTTATATATAGGTATAGTACAGTTTTAGTTTTACAAACGCAAAAGAAAACACAATGGGTCCAAGCAATGGCAGCAGCAATAAGGAACAAGCCCTATTATATGTTAGAACACTCACAAATGTCCCGAATATTGTAACTGTTGATGGTGAATCTGGGCGAGTGTAGTAAGCTGGCGGGAATTTGGTGTTTTGAGACAGGCATCCCGACCGCAGGTAGATAAGGCGCAAGTTAGGTCGTGAAGCCCTCCAATTGCCATCTTGTCGCTCTTATATAAATACAGCCAGCCATCAGGAAACTGTACCTTCCCCAAAAGACCAGTGAAGACCTGGGGTAGAATAGGTCTTCAGCAACCCATGCTTGCCGTAAAAGGCGACTATGCTTGTCGTAAAAGGCGACTAACGGGATCGGGTGGTGAGGCTCGCTGACTTCGCTGATGCATGAAATCGATCCCAATTGCGTGGATCGATGCTTATGATGTCAATCACTGGATTGTCTGGTCCAGACTCGATTATTTACAGAAAGCCGTCATATAGCTGGAATACTGCTGAGTGCGGCGTTAAACAACAAACCAACCAACCAACCTTCCCCAAACGTCTCAAATGATCAAGACGATGATGTTTATCAACAACCAATGTCACACTTTCGGTTTCAATCTTGTTACAGCAATCGACATTTTATTAGCGTATCAGACATTTGCCGCCACTGACAATCACTACAAATACACTTACAACTATCTCAATTTCCACATAACACGAGACGACACTCTGACTACTCTGTTACTTTTGTTAACGCCAGGGTTAACATGAATGCATTACTTTCATATAAATAATGTGCTTAAACTACTCTGACAAGGGGGCGTGGCTGGCCCAGTCGCCTAAGACGCCGCGATTCGCTGTGCAGAGTTGTGTCCCTTGGGCACGCCAAAAACCTATGATTGTGGGTTCGAATCCCGGTTCGCCCCGATTATGTTTCTAGGTTTGTCAGCACCATACCCGTGCTCGTGGTTTGACTCGTGGGTTTCACCGAAGTGGTAAACGTCTGAGACCTGCATCACTTCGGGCTTGCCTCCCACATTAAGCTGACACGCCGTGATATAACTTGACTAATTTTAAAAGCGGCGTTAAACCCAATTCACTCACTAATCTGACAATAATGGATATCCATTTTCTTATATTAAATCAGCTGGATAAAGAATTGTGTATTACTATTTTATCCTCTATCGAGAAGCAACCCGTATCTACCCATGTAATTGTCGTTTACAGATATATAATGTGTTCTTAGACATCTTGATTAACTAACCCATAATGTGGGTCTAGTTTGTGGTAGGCGGAGTCACAAAACAGTGAGTGGTTGTTATAATTAGAGATGGTTAGGAAAGTTGATGTGACCAGTTTGGTCAGCTGGATGAAACTACATTTTTGAAACCTGCAAATTCCAGGTCAATTACCCAATGGTTTAATCTAACACACATCATAGTTGAAACTACATCAAGACTTTTCTGTAAACTTTATTTATCTAACATCTAATACCTAATGTTCTCTATTCAGCTTCAGCGAACATTCGGCGTATAACCCCATTACCTCCCAATCAGTCGGAATCCATTGCCCTCTGGTTACTGGAATATCAAGACCATGACCCGGGCTCAGTTAAAACAAGAATTGCAATAAGATACAATATCTGTCCTAGATGTCCTAAAGCCAAAGATCCCATAGCGGAGGCCAAGCTTCCTCTATTTCAGAAAGATGTAGGGAAGAAGGTATACAAACAGCAGCCAAAGAAATTCTTTCAAAATCATAAATCAAACATTGTCAATACGAAAATCGAAATCTTATCCCTCCCCAAACAGAAAGCTTATCAATGCTTAAAATCCCAGTAGATTATGTGCACTCTACTCACACAAATATGTCATATGCAGCTCTGCCAAAATTGCTAATGCAGAAGTCGACCTCTTAAAGACCTAGATCAACAACTGTCATTATTTACTTGCACAAGTATGGCAGCTGCTCAGATACGCGCTAGTTTCATAAGAGAGAGCGTGTTCATGATTTAGACAAGTAGAAGTATTGTCTCAATAAGAAGGAGGAACCTGGACAATGCAGCAGATACGTTAACGTCGATGCCAGAATCCGTGTCCCGAAGGACGAGCTTATGAGCCACCTCACGGCGGCAATGGAGCTTATGTACGTTATGTAATAATCTCCCTACAAAACTGAACGTGGCAGAGCTACCAAACCCAGGGCACCAACCGGTGCTCTTGGAGACTCATATAACCCAGTAACACTGTACAGGCTGACTTCATATCATCCAATAATGCAGTATACTAAGAGAGGTGGTAGGGAGTTAGTCGTGATTAACGCTGCTTTGGACAGTATAGTTTCATATATAACAGTAGAGAAAAAGCCACAAATGACATTGACGTTTATCATCCAAAACTGGCTCCCACAGGAGATATCGCTTGGGTGTGATCAAGCTATATCTACAATGTAGATATTGCTGTAATGACCATGACGTCACAATCAAATGACATCACTTATGGCTATTGAAGCTGTTAGCAGTACTTATTACACTTAAGACACTGCTTTTTATTGTCTACAAACTGAATAATTTGGAAGAATGATGTTGGAAGATATATAAAATCTCACCCTGGTGTATCTTGATATCAAATAACACTCGTTGATAAAAGTGGAAGCCTCGGAGTTTTTCCACTTTTATCAACTCGTCTTGATATACGTATTTGATATCAAAAGACAGGAGGGTGGTATTCTCTTTCATTGACGTTTATCATTCTGGTGAAATTCACCTCACCATATTAAGGTGAAATGGGGTTTAACGTCGCGTCCAAGATTATTGCACTTATATAGCGACGTGCATGTACGTGTATGTGTGCGTGTGGCTGCTTGTACTACTACTGCTGTACTTGTATATTTATAATGCTGGCTCAATGAGATACCATGCCGAAGTTTAACATGAATATCCCACTCAGACACAGTATACTGACTCCGAGCCGACCAGTCCTTGTTTTAGCCCCTTAATGCCGAGCGCCAGACAAGGTAACAACAAGTACCATCTTTTAACGTCTTTGGGTATGACGCGGCCGGGGATCGAACCCCGGACCTTCCGCTCTCCGGGCGGACGCTCTACCACTAGACCACGGAGGCGGTCCCCCACATTAAGATGTAACCGACGTGTCTTACTTGTTGTTGAGCCAGAAGGTTGAGACGTAGCCTGGAATTTCCACCAGTTCGAGGAGAACGATGTTGAGGAAAAGGTTACCGGAAAGACTGTGGACGCCGAACGTCACTCCATAGTACGTCACAGAACAGGTGAACCTGGGTACGAGATACATTTTCCCATTGACGTGTCATACACAGTAAACAAGTCACACGCTAATGATCTTATAGAGGACAACAAATACGCCATGATCTGTTAGTTTACCGCTGTTAACTTGTAATACAAACGAACGTATTGAATTGTTTAGTTCAGCTTACACATTCTCCATTATAAAAATGGGTGGTCTGTACCATAAGGCAGCAATAAGCGGTGACCAAATTGTGGATGGGATGGTTACAATGGCTGCTTGGGTGAAAAAAAAACCAGTGAACTGTTACCTGTTACATGAATCGATTGTGTGCTTGTTATTTATATCGAATTAAAGAATCAAATGGGCCACTCGCTTAATCACTGTTGATTGATATGGGACCTGTGAACATCCGGGGTACAATTGGTCTTCAGTAACCCAGGCTTGCCCTAAAAGGCGACTATGCTTGTCGTAAGAGGCGACTTAGGGGATCGGGTGGTCAGGCTCGCGGACTTGGTTGATGCATGTCATCGTATCTGAATTGTGTGGATCGATGCTCAATCACTGGATTGTCTGGTTCAGACTCGGTTATATACAGACCGCCGTCATATAGCTGGATTATTGCTGAGCGCGGCGTTAAACAACAACCAACCAACCAACAACAACTTGATTTTGAGAAACTTTATATATACATTTCAAAGCCACAAAACGTCGAAAATAGTGTTAGTGGAGTTCCAGTTATACAGTGTTTACTGTGATTATGACCTACTAAACTTTTAAATGTTGGTTTCTTAAAATCTTTATAGGGGCGGTCGGGTAGCCTAGTGGTTAAAGCGTTAGCTCGTCACGCCTAAGACCCGGGTTCGATTCCCGACATGGGCACAATGTGTGAAGCCCATTTCTGGTGTCCCCCGCCGTGATATTGCTGGAATATTGCTAAAAGCGGCGTAAAACCTCACTCACTAAAATCTTTATAAAATCTCATTTAAGTGTTTCCTTTAATTTCATACTACCGTCAGTATCCTATATTACGCACAAAATGAAATATTTCCAAAACTTTACAGTTAAGGTGTTTTGTCCGTACCAAATGAATGCACATAGTATGGACTTTTTTGCCATCTTCCATCCGTGAAAGGTATCTAGATATGTGTATTTTTTTTGTTTCTCCTGTTGAGCCAACTCTTTCTTAGCCACCTCTTCAAGCCTCGTCCTGGTGTTCTCTGGTTTCGGACGTCGGTTGTGTCGAGCAATGAGATCGACAACAGCCTCAGCCTCATCCAAACGACCTTTTACAGTCAACCAGCGCATGCTCTCAGGGACAAAGCTGAATCAAACAAAAAATACAATTTATTTTTAAAATTTACTCTTATCTGCTTGTATATTAACTCAACACTATAACACCTGATGAGGGTACAAGGAGTAGCCCTGAAACGTCATACAATTTGAAACAATATAAGTTCATATAACAGTTCCATAGCTTAATGTCAATAGATTCCTTTGAAACCGATATGCTGCAGAGAAAAGGTTTTTTTCTCTCAAATGACTGAAATAGAAGCTATTTTAAAACAAAATTGTGGATCACATCGTTAACAATTTTAAGTCCATTCCAATCCATTGATCTACCAACCTGAACTAAAAGTATAAGAGACCGACTAATCTCTTTCATGTTCAAAGAGGGGAGCCATTAATTGGTGACAATGGAGATGCCCACTTCTTGCCTAAATGCCTGATCCCCAAATTTCACACAGATGTTATAGAGAGGCTTGAGGAAACTATTCATAAATAAACGCTGATTATGTGTTATGAATCACTTTGACGGGAACATATGGTACAAGTCAAAATATAGGATTGCATCCGACATCATTTTGTCACTGAAGCGTCAAATTTGTTCTCCACATGTCTACCGTAAAACATTTTGAAAGCTTTACTGAGGCCTTCAGTGTTGTAACCATTATCAAACAACTTTTGAACAAGAGTCGTACAACGTTCTTTAACACCTTGGTAGACAGGGCATGTAATTTTGATAGAAATAGCATGCTCGAGTGCAGTTGTGAAAACTTTTGGATACAATCGAGAATGGTTTTTCTTCCAAAATTTCAAAATGCGTCATACGACTCTTACTCAGAAGTTGTTTGATGAAGGTTACGACATTCAAGGCCTCAGTAAAACTTTCAGTGAGTGAGTGAGTTGGGTTTAACGCCGCTTTTAACAGTATTCCAGTCAGCTTAATGTGGGAGGAAAGCACGAAGTGATGCAGGTCTCAGACGTTTACCACTTCGGTGAAACCCACGAGGACGGGTATGGTGCTGACAAACCTAGAAACATAATTGGGGCGAACCGGGATTCGAACCCACAATCCTAGGTTTCTGGCGTGCCTAAGGGACGCAACTCTGCCCAGCGAATCGCGGCGACTGGGCCACCCGTGCCCCCCAGTAAAACTTTCAAATTTCCAAATTTGACGCATGAATGACAAAAATGATGTCCGATCATTTCCCTTCTTTGGCTTGTATCATATGTTCCCGTGTTTATTCAGGTGAACAATTGACTTTCCTTTGCGTGTGTGTGTGTCACAGGTGCCACTGGTGGGGCAGGATACGCTCGCCTTTTCGGGAACATCATAACTATTTGATAGTGATTCATGAACACATTCTCTCGCTTTTACTTTATTTTAGTCCCGCGCAATATGTGCGAGGTTGATGTCAATGATACGTATATTTCAAACGTTTGACATATGGACCTAGAATTTCACGTTTATTACATGGCATGCATAAATGTGAGAAATACTGTGTTCTTGCATGGTGCGATAATGTCTCAGTTTACTTTTAACATGTAAACATAGATCGTAGTGTACAGCAATGTAGATGTGGTTAGTCAAATGTGCAAGCATGAGTTGTTACCCAGGACAGAGCATTTAACAATTAATAACATTATACTTACAACCATCCTAATAAATATGGTGCAGATAAAACTCCACTGGCGACATGAAGGTATCTCCAGTTAGGAATCAGATATCCAAAGCAGGCAAACAAGGTCACACCGACAGGCCAAAACGGTAAAGCAGTCACAACCGCTCTCCATTTGCAACCCATGAACTCCATCAAATGGGGGATGCTAGTTCCTAAAAAGGCCCCAATAGTCATGCCAACCAGGAAACGTACGGCGGCGTACATCTGCCAGGATACAGAAAGTGCTCCGATGAAACAAAAGACTGAATGAAGTCCCATGTTCAGGAAGAAAATTTTCTTTCGTCCAAATGTGTCCGAGATCTGTCCCGCCAAGGCCACGCCCACCATGACACCGGTCATCTGGAGGGATATGATGGTCTTGCTGACCTGTCCCTTCTCACAGACCAGGTCCCACTGGAAGGACATACATAGCATGTGGTGAAAAAGCTGTCTGGAATAATATCAGGAAGATCAAGAATGTTGATACAAAGGGCTTTGTGCAACAGCCGTGGGGATGAGAACGTATCTTGATATGCATCCTCAAAGCAACTTATTAAAAGCAAACTCAAATCCTAATGCTAAAAAATAAATTAATAATTGACTAAACGTTTACATTTACAGTCACTACCATAACCTCGTGAGGTAATACGAGTTTTCATATAATATGGGTAACTTAAAACTGGATGGGTGATTTGAGTTTCATTCCACGGTTTTTCGGTTATGTCACGGTACGTCTGCTGATATTTGGAGGAAAGCCCAATGTTATATCTCTTGTACGTTTATGAGTTTTTGATACTCATTCATGAGTGAGTGATTGAGTTGGCTTTAACGCCGCTTTTAACACTATTCCAGTTATATCACGGCGTGTCAGCTTAATGTGGGAGGAAAGCCCGAAGTGATGCAGGTCTTTGACGTTTACCACTTCGATGAAACCCACGAGCACGGGTATGGTGCTGACAAACCTAGAAACATAATTGGGGCGAACCGGGATTCGAACCCACAATCATAGGTTTCTGGTGTGCCCAAGGGACGCAACCCTGCACAGCGAATCGCGGCGTCTTAGACGACTGGGCCACCCGTGCCCCCTTGATACCCATGAACGCCCGGGTGATACTGACAACAATGAATCATGTTCAGGGCGATTCCTGAAATCCAACTAACAATCATAGGTTTGGGCTGCGAGTTGCCTCGCTTCACACAAGTGGGCAATTAGCTCCCCGAATGAATAAATTGATTTGATGGATGGATGGACGGATGTGGATGGATGGATGGATGGAATAAGTAGTATTGGTTAACACCGGGAACTAGCATTAAGTTAATCAGGGAATAATTCAGTCTTATCTAGGCATCGTTTCAGTTGGGAGAGGAGTAAAAGGGATTAAAATAAATGGTTCACATTTAACATAAATCATGTTCACACATTCACCCCATTACACCTTACATACCTGTGAGACAGCTGTTACCATGGAATCCGAGTACACCCTGATACAGGTATTGTTGCCGACAGGACACTGCTTGTACACCGACGAGTTCCCCATGGTGGTGTTGAGATCCTGACCCTCCGACACGCACCACCAGTCAGGGACCACCCCGGCCACCACGGGGATCACCATGCTCCACCCAAATAACATCTTTGGGGAACCAACCATCAGAGTTATCAGTATCTGGAAACGCCCAAAGGACCCAATATCTTCGATGAGATCTTCAAGTGTCATGTTAGTAGAAACAGAAGTCTTTCCGGAAGGAAATCCGTCCCAAGTTGTACGTTGTTTGGCTTGCACTGATGGATCCAGTTGGTAGAGGGAATATAGGGACACCTTACGCCAACCTATCAGTGACTTGAATATTACTGAACCCAGCACCACGTGACTGCATGCTTGCCTACAGCTCGAAGGGGGAAGGGAACTGTATGAAAAGGCCGGGGCTCGAGGCTCGAGGCTTTTTATAGCACAGCTATGTTTTATGTATAACGTTGTATGGTGCATGAAGTCAAACAGTGCATCAATGCCCGTTCATTCAACCCAGCGTGGATGAATAAAAAAAATGAATACTTGAATGTATGTCTTTAAACCGAAACAAACTATATTGCACGCCCCGGTTAAATGACGTGACCGGTATCCTCATAGAGAAAACATGACAAATATGATTTCATTAATATTTGTTTTCACAAAAGTGGTACAGGAGTAAGAACGTAACCTGTGTTGGAAGTGCCCAAAGCAGGGATCAATATCGTTTAGATTAGTAATGATCCCTAACTTAATTTTAAGTAAACTATTACAGTCGGTGTCGGCTTGTCGTGCCGTTTATGAGCACCGACCTCAGCGTGGGTACAGGTTATCATAATGTTTGTTACAAGCCCACCATGGCGATGTGAATGTCACTATGTCAGCGAACAGTGCAAGAAGGCACAGTATTTCCCAAATGTAATGACTGCGTGATACGAGGTCCACATAAAAAAAACGTTGGCCGCCAATTTGCACATATTCCGTGGGTATGGGCGGATCCAGATGATCTATTTAGACAATCACCAAACCAGTGATTGACAACATGAGCATCGATCCACACAATTGGGATCGATGACATGCATCAAGCAAGTCCGCAAGGCGATCTCGATAGTCGCCTCTTACGACAAGCATAGTCGCCTTTTAGGGCAAGCGTGACGTATTCTGAAGACCTATTCTACCCCGGGTCTTCACGGTGAGACAAGCATGGTTTGCTGAAGACCCATTCTATCCCGGGTCCTCACGGCTTTGATGGAGGTAGAACAATGGATAGTAATACGTTAACATATAAGGAAGGGCTTCCTACGGCCTGAGCCGTGACTCCCGAGGGGAGACATGTCGTGGAAGCCCCTGGGCGCAGTCGGGGTAGATTCATTTGTCTATAGACAAAGTATAATTATAATCATTAAATGGAATATCACCAATTCCTTTCATGACAATGTCGACATATAGTAGGTGAACAAGTCGTCACATGAGAAGATCCCCCCCTGCATTGTTTCTGTAGGTAGCAGCCGGCCGCCTTCGACCTCTGTATATCGTTGCCCAGGGAGCATGAGGTATATCAATAGATTTCACATAGTTCAGACCAAGGGAAGAGACCACCCCTAACGTGCAGGCATCAAACTTGTTCTGGATAAGAACTTCTTTATTCTGTGTAACGGCGTTTAAAGGCTCTTCATGTCCCTGCATCTCATATGGACACGGGCTGCTGCTTTGGGCGACTTTTTAAGGATTTATAGACAGGCCTAGTTTTTAAGAAGTTTTGGAAATATCTAATGTTTGCTTATGAACCTACTGCCACCTTTGCCTATATTGCTGTAGGTTTCTTGCCATCCCATGCAACCTTGTAAGGGGTACTACTTTCGTGTGAAACCTGCTGAGATGTTTTACATTGGAATTGTAAGACCTGCTTGGAGGTTGCACAGTTGCCTTGCCTGAGCAGCCTTTTAATATGCATGTAATGTTGAATTTTCATTGGTTAAAAGTCACACCTTGTTTCACAACTTCACAATCGAACTTGCAGTCTCACATATCATGTTTAATATGGCAACCCACTTTTTCTCCACTGAGCCAAGGGGGCAGGTGATAAAATCCTGTTCAAACTTACAAACATCTTTACGACAGCCCTGTGGAAATGTATATTCTGTGCAAAAAAAATCACTAGTGTTCATTGGAGGCGTTGTTACAATATTGATTGGAATATATATCAGATTTGTCTGTGGTAAGAGCTAGGAGGGACATTCCAATTATGATTAGTTTTCTAAACTGTAGAAACAAAGAGGCCAATAAGAATTAAGGTTTGATTTTCAGGGTTTTGTACTGCTAAAATGTTTAGTTTTTAATATGAAAATATTGTGTTTTGAAAATAAAACTATTTTGACATTTTTGTCAATTGAAAATTTGACAGTTTCTGAGAATAACCATTGTAGTATTCTGATTGTCTCAGACTTTGAATAACCATAAGAAGATGCTATACAGAAGCCATGTGTCATTATCGAGGGAATGTAAATGCTCCTTCCTGCTGTCTAACACTGCCCGCTGGGTCTCACAAGCTGACGTGAGTCGATTTGCACGCAAACGTAACTGAGCGTGACTGAGAAATGGAGTGGTGTACTATAGATAAGTGGGAGAATGAATATTGTAAACTGTTGAAAGGTAACGTCAGGACGCAGAATGTTAAGTGTGACAGTGACACTGGTGACACCCATGTGTTGTTCGACGCTAAAATTACTCTTTTTGAAGTAACTAGAGCGGTTGATAGAAGCCACTGTGGCAAGGCTCCTGGTGTTGACGGTATCCCGATGGAATGTCGTAAATCACAAAATGTTATTTTTGCTATGCACAATATTTTTAATATCTGCTTTAGCACAGGGAAAAACCCTGCATAATGATTAAAGGGCGTTATTAATCCCATACCAAAGTGTTCTACTTTAGATCCGTCGGATCCATTATCGTATAGAGGTTTGACCTCATCAATCCTATGTACAAATTATATTGTAATATTTTAAATAACCGTCTGTAATCTTGGGCTGAAAGTACAGGAGCTCTTAATGATGCGCAAACTGGGTTCCGGAAGCGTAGATCAACTACGGATCATATTCACCCTGTTTGTTATTTTATTGAAACAAGAAAATGTTTTAGAAAAGGCATCATAAAGCGTATGATAGCATTAACAGATGTGTGCTGTGGGAGAATTTATGTAACATTAGTGTGAAAGGGAAAATGTTTCTAGCACTTCAATCTTTATGATAATGTGAAATGCAGTGTACGTATAAATGGTATGCTTACACCCTGGTTTAATGTTAATCGGGGTTTAAAACAAGGATGTTTACTCTCGCCAATTCTGTTTAACTTTTTTATTAATGATTTGTTTGACAAGCTAATTGAAACTGATATTGGTATTTGTGTTGATGATTTACTATTGCAGCATTAGCTTGTGCTCATGATCTTATTCCCCTTCAGAATCAGCAGATGATTTGAATCGTCTATTACATGTTGTGAATACTTGTGTGTAGATAATAGTATAATACGAACATGAATGTGAATGAAAGTGTGTTTTCAGTGTAAAAAAGTATTGAGAATAAATATCATGCATGGCTGGATCGCCTTTTGTACGATGATTTGCGTGAAAGTTTATACGAAAAGGTCAGTTTTAGCTATCCCAACTTCCTAGACTTATGTAATATTGATAAAGTTATTTTACTTTTAAAATATTATGTCTATTTAACAGCCAAAACCTGATTTTTAATTCTTTTTATATGTCCCTTTTACACTAGTATATTTATGCTGTCTCTCGTAACCCTTAACGGGTGGCTCACAATCTATCTGTCTGTCTGCCTGTGTAGATTTACTAAGGCAGGCGGAATACACCTATATCTGGGCGTGACGTGCCGATATAAAAGCAACATTGTTCAAAGGATTAACCGTGCGCGAAATACGCATATGTCGGAAAGCGCACGTTAAATTCCTAATTAATGTAAGTAAGGATTAACAGATAATAAGTGGACTGATTACTCATTTTTATCTAATTCAGTGGATTGATTTTAAAGAACCGTGTACATAATGAAAATACATGTCACGTGTGCTATCTCATCTGACCATGAAACTTGACACTTATGTGAAACACCTGAAAAGAACTTACTTGATTTTAAAATATTTGATTGTAACAAAGACACGTGACATCGAGTTTCTCTGTCCCATGAACATATGCATGCCTGTCCCCCTTCAGGATGCTGCTGTAGAGTATGTACCCTATACTCCATGCAGTACATGTTTGTTCCCCTTCAGGGTGCTGCTACAGAGTATGTCCCCTATACTCCATGCAGTGCATGTTTGTTCCTCTTCAGGATGTTGCTGCAGAGTATGTCCCCGATACTCCATGCAGTGCATGTTTGTTCCTCTTCAGGATGTTGCTGCAGAGTATGTCCCCGATACTCCATGCAGTGCAAGTCTGTTCCCCCTTCAGAATGCTAATGCAGAGTATATCCCCGATACTCCATGCAGTGCACGTTTGTTCCCCTTCAGGATGCTGCTGCAGAGTATGTCCCCTATACTCCATGCAGTGCATGTGTGTTCCCCTTCAGCATACTGCTGTAGAGTGTGTCCCCTGTACTCCATGCAGTGCACGTTTGTTCCCTTTCAGGATGCTGCTGCAGAGTATGTCCCCGATACTCCATGCAGTGCATGTTTGTTCCCCTTCAGCATACTGCTGCAGAGAATGTCCCCTGTACTCCATGCAGTGCATGTTTGTTCCTCTTCAGGATGCTGCTGCAGAGTATGTCCCCTATACTCCATGCAGTGCATGTTTGTTCCTCTTCAGGATGTTGCTGCAGAGTATGTCCCCGATTCTCCATGCAGTGCACGTTTGTTCCCCTTCAGCATACTGCTGTAGAGTATGTCCCCTGTACTTCATGCAGTGCATGTTTGTCCCCCTTCAGGATGCTGCTGCAGAGTATGTCCCCTATACTCCATGCAGTGCATGTTTGTTCCTCTTCAGGATGTTGCTGCAGAGTATGTCCCCGATTCTCCATGCAGTGCACGTTTGTTCCCCTTCAGCATACTGCTGTAGAGTATGTCCCCTGTACTTCATGCAGTGCATGTTTGTCCCTCTTCAGAGTGCTGCTGCGATTGTGTTTTTTATTATTCATTCTTTTTTAATTGTAACATTTTCTTTTTATGCAACACTTGGTTAATGCTCTATGACAATCAATTCGCAATATGTTAAATAGTACCTCCACAATGCACATTTAAATTCAATCTCAATGTAACATTCTTGACAAATTCTTTATTGTTAACTCATATTCTACCATGACATTGATGAATGCTTGATTCTGATTGGTTAGAAAGGGGTTTCCCTTTTGCTACGGAAACCCCTTTCAAATATATTAAGCCTTTTCACAAAAACGTGCGTATGAATACATAGATAGCCTACATATCGATTCACAGAAAATGGCTGCCGATCGATCACCCAATATAAACTGTAAAACTTATCTATATTTCCTCTAATACACGCTGGGTCTCTAATACCAGCCAGGTCTCTAATACACGCCGAGGCAAGGGCTCTCGCGAAATTAATAGACGGCGTAGTGTCAAATAGAGGAAATACGGTAGTTTGACACGGATGTTTGGGGCGTTCTAGGCCGCAACCCTGACTGCTTTGATGATGACATTAAAAGATTTAACGAAGGCATATCTTTTGCATATAAATGAAATGTTTATGAAACTGTTAGAGACATGTTCTATGGTGACCGGAATCGGAACAATTTAAGCTATTTCCTCATTGAAACAACCGACAATTAAAGTAAAATATAACATTATATAAATTGTTTGAAAAAACATCACACCAGCAGGGATAGTTATAGTCAACATGTTAATGTTGAACAGCATCACACGCACAGTACTGGGTTGTCTTCTGGTTTCCTGCAATTCTTTAACAGCACTGTTACTGTTAACAATTTCTTTGGCAGCCATAACAGAGAGTGCAGTGCAGATATAGTGA